GTCCCATCATATGTAAATGCAACTGACTGCACATTATCTTGATGACCTTCAAAAGGCTGTCCAAATGTCTGACCAGTGGATATATCCCACATTATGATCTTGTTACCTGAAGTAGAGGCAATCTTTGTTCCATCAGGTGAAAATGCACTTGATAGAACCAGACTTTGATGATGAAGGGGCTGTCCCAAATTCTGACCAGTAGATGTATCCCAGATTTGTACTGTCTTGTCAACTGAAGCAGAGAGTATCTTTGTGCCATCAGGTGAAAATGCAACTGATGGTACCCAATCTTGATGTCCTAGAAAAACCTGATATTCAGTTGGCCAATCTTGTATACCTCTTGTCACTTGCAAGGAAGGATTGTATAGTTTGCGATAATGATTGGCAAGTGGAGAGGTCTGGGGTGAGAATGTGAGAATGCTGAAATAGAGTCCTGAACAGGATTCTTGAATTGCCTGATGAAACAAATCTGTTATTTTTGTTCCATCAGTTAATAGCTGAATCATATTAGAGCTGAGATTCTGCAGTAAAATTAGCAGATTATTATATATATTATATTATCTGTGACTTACTCCTAGCCACTTATTGGCTGTTTTCAGTAGAGATGTGGCATAATATCCAGCACTGATAATACTGAGAATCTCTAGCCAGTGAAAGAAATGTTTCTCTAAAAATATTTCCAGATTCTGTGTTAAATTCTTGCTCTTGGCAGTTAGATTGCTTGCTGGATAATACTCTGACCAGTATTTGCAGGCATGTTGCAAGCTGCTTGGAATAGAGACAGATACTTGTTCTCTTAGATTAGCAATATCTCTATTGAAATATCCCATGGATAATCCAAGAATATTGAACTTTAGCTTTGTGTTCATAAACTGGAGACAAGTATTTGCAAGATATAATCCATGTAGTTCTTCCTTGACAGTAAATTCTCCAGATCTTTCCTGTTCCAGCATGAAATCTGTGAATGACTTGTGGCAGCTTTGTAGTAGGTGATCATTGTTCTGCTCTGCAAGGACAGGCCTAAGTGCCTGCTCAACCCACCACAATGAGCATATAGGTGCATTGATTAACTCCTCAATGGACAAGAGATCCATTGATTGTTTGGCCATGATAATTGTCCACAGAACCTTCTGTAGCAAATCCTGCTCATATCTATCCAGATTTCTGTAGATTCCTTGGAGAATTCTCATATAAAGGTCATCCAATGGCTGTGTATGGCCAATACTTGTGGAATATTGGATGTCTTGTAACCGCTTCAGGGGATCTCCCCCCCCTTCAATATAATCCAAGGCAGCTTTTGCCCACATAAATAAGCCAGCAGCATTATTCACAAGCTGTGGAATAATATCCTTATCAGACCAACTTGGGAATATCTGTTGGATTTTCTTTCTAATAGAAAGAAACCGATATCTTAAATATTTGTCAATATCTGCTTGAGATTCCTCTGAAACAGAGCTTCCTGTAGCAAGGGTC